AGGGACTTCTCTTCCCGGCACTGAAACAGTGGGCTGATGGTTCTGGTGTGGGGCTGGGACCCCTTGCTCCTCATGGGAGGCCTCCTCAGCCAAAATATCCCTCCCGATTAAAAACATGCCACATGTGGATGTTGGATCAGCCTGTTTCTCACCTCCTATCAGTAGCTCTTCCATTCAGGCAGGTTTCAGGTGGTCTGAATGATGGTTGTTCTGTATTTTAGTTGTAATTTTGCTATAGTTGTAGGATTTGAGTACCACGTTTACTAATGCTGCCATCTTGGTTCCTCCCTCAAATGGTTTCTAAAGTGATTGTAAATTGTACTCCCAACAGTAAGAGTCCCAGTTGTTCCATGTCTCTACCAACATGTGGTATCATTGTTCTTTTTTGTGTCTGCCTATCTGGTGGATGTATGATGGTCTCATTTTGTTTTTGCATTGATAACTAATGAGGTTGACTGCCTTTACATTTTTTGTTTATTTCATTAGGGTGATCAGTGCATACTTGTTGCCCCAGCACCATTATTAAAAGGGTCCCCTTTAGTCCTAGCCAATGTTTCTCAGTGGTTAGAACATCAGCCCATACACTGAAGGGTCGCAGGTTCAATTCTCAGTCCCAGTTGGGGCACGTGTGGGAGGCAACAAATCAATGTGTCTCTCTTACACTGATGTTTCTCTCTCTGTCTCTCCCTTCCCCCTTTCCCTTCCACTCTCTCTAGAAAAAACAATCAATGGAAAATGTATATTTGGGTGAGGATTAACAGCAACAAAAAAGGATCCCCTTTCATTAACATCTCAATTTGAGCAATAAATTATTGCTCCTTATTCTTAGTGAAGTTTCTCTCCTAACATGGAAATTTCCTTCGTGCTTTTAGGATTAAGGCTGGTACTCATGGGCTCAAGCAGCTCTGAGGGAAGGAGGAAAAAATTGGGGTAGATACAGAGGATGAAGTGAAAACAAATGGGAAGGACATCAAACACATTAACTCTGATTACTCAGGCTGACTCAGGGTGACCATCTATTCCAGTGGGTAAAAGCAGATGGACTTGATCAATAGAATCCAACAGTCAAAGTAAAAGAATTTGTTTATTTATTTCTCAGAAATGACTCAGGTCACAAGTATTACCTGAAAGCTGGTCACAGTGTATACTGCAGCCACTCACTTCCCTCTCAGTCTGTAATAATTCTCTTAAAAGCTGGCAAGTGAAACTGAATAGTACTTTCTTGCCTTGAGATCATTTTGTGAATTCCCTCTTTTTTAAAAAATCATATAGGAGAGGATATTCCAATGATGGCAGCAGTATGGGAGCAGCAGGTCATCTGCTCTCTCCTTTACTCTTTTAAAGACCCAGTTATAATGGCACTATTGAACCACCTCCATACTCAAATAATTAATGCTTAAGTCCACCCTCAAAATGGAAATCAATAAGCAACATCTTTGTTCTCATTTACACTGAGGGATACTTTGCATTTGTTAAAATAATTTATGTTTATAATGGTAATAGTCTTTTTCCTCAAAGAAACCCCAAGAAAGCATTCCGCCCCCACACCCCCCACCAGCCACATAGATGAAAGAGAATAGACTGACCAAGGCTGAGTGGCTCCTAGTCATTCAGGAGGGCAGCAGAGTTTCTGCCCCAGAACCTGAGTTTATGGTTTAGCCCAGGACATTTCCCAGCAAAGAACATACCCCTTCTAATATGAGTTGATGGGGTTGCATGTGCACCCTCAGGCTGGGGACCAAATGCCAAATGATTTACTTGCTCAAAATTCTCCTGCCATCATGTCAAATATGAGATATTTCTACACTCCAAGTTCATCTCATTTCTAATCACTTGAGCAGAAATTCTTCTAAGACAAGCTCGGCAAATGTTATTTTTCTCCTATGTAGATAGCTCCCTAACATCTCGGGACGGGGGTGCTCGCGGGGGGAGATGTCTTTTTCTTCCAAATCTACCAAAAATTCAGGTAAATTTTTTTTAAAGTCTTAACGCTGTTTCTTGAGTTATGCACACTTGGCGAAGATAAAAAATAGTGTTTCCTGAAAAATGCACTCTAATCCACCGTTTACCAGATTGGTTCTGGCTCAGCAGGTGAGCTCCCCACTAGGTCTTTAGGAGGCGCCATCATTCTCACCCAACTCTTCAGATTGCTAATAATTTAAATGTGGAGCAGTCAGTAGCAAGAGGACCGGTGAGTTCCCAAATGTTTGGAGACACATCAAGCTTTATGTCAGGAAGATCACGTGGCCGCGTTGTCCAATGTGGGAGCCACTAGCCACATGGGAGGTTGGACATTTTAATCACATTAAATTTAAAATTCAGTGGCTTATCTCACTGGCAACATTTCAAGCGCCGAGTGGCCACAGGTGGCTAGTTGCTACCATGCTGGATGGGGCAGATGTGAAATACTTCCCCCACTGCAGAAGTCCTATTGGACAGTGCTGCTTCCCAGTGCTGTGGGGAGCAGTGTTCTGGTGTCCACCTTGTGGGCTGCCTCCGGCCCCTCACCGGTTCTGCCCCACCACACAGGACACGCTTCATCAGGGCTGGGGCGCCTCTTGTTTGTCTCCACATTCAGGCCACCTCCATAGGAAGCCTCTTCGAATGAAGAAATTCACAGGGGTTTTAGGGAAGGAAAACGTGTGGGCCGCTGCTTTTCTGGCGAGGTGACCAGAAAGCCAATCTCAGGCGCAACCTGTGTAGCTCCGTTGGCTTTAATTCTTGATCCCTCAGGTCACCCAGCTACCTTCTGTCAGCTGGTCTCACAGGTAAGTGCTCCTGGTTATGGGTGAGTAGGGGGTCATTCCCTGCCACCCGCCCACCCTCCAGGCACTCCTGCTCCCGACATTGCCCAGACTTCCCTGACGCTTTCATGTCTCTCGTCTTTGTTCCTGCTCCTGGCCAAATCCTCCACATCTGTAGTGGACCGACCACTCACTGGATTAGCAGCTTAGGGTATATACTTAACAGAACAGAAAGAAAACTTGCCATTTCTGAGGAAAGCAGTGAGGCAGTAAATGACAGGGTAGAACAAGATTAGGCAGGATCAAAAGGCAAAAGCAGGATGCTCATAACAACGAGAGCTTTAAACTTATAACCATAATTTGTCATTCTATTGGAATTTACTGGCTGTCAATGCACCATGGGTGTGAATTGCGAGGCATCTGGATGAATGATGTCTCTTCATTCCTCCCTGCTCTCTGCTGACATCTAGCAAAGCTCAATGTTATCATTAAAGCACGAATGAACAGAACACTGATGGACTGATTTGCAAGTATTTGACTAACTCTCCCATTCACAAATTTAGCAATAAGTAAATGCATAGTTTGCACAGAACAAGTGGAAGAATAAGGAGTTAAGTACTGGAATATCAGTCCTTAGTTACTGTGTTAGTCAGTTCTCCAGAGAATCAGCACCAATAGGATGTGCATAGGTATATGAGTGCATGTGTATGTATTTAGTTTAAGGAATCAGCTCATGTGATTGTGGGCAAGTCTGGTGTCTGCAGGGAAGGTAGGCTGGAAATTTGATGGTGCAGTCTTGAGTTCAAAGACAGTCTAGAGTCAAACTTTCTTTATCTTTTAAGGTTGTGAACAGGTAGGATGAGGCCCAGCCACATAAGAGAGGGTAATCTGCTTTACTCAAAGTCCATTGATCTAAATGTCAATCACATATAAAAATACCCTCACAGCACATCTAGCCTTATGTTTGATCCAACAGCTAGGCATCATAGCCTAGCCCAGTGACCACATAAAATTAATGAGCAGAGCCCTGGCGATGTGGCTTTGTTGGCTGGGCATCATCTCAAGCACCAAAAGGTCACTGGTTTGATTCCCTGTCAGGCACATGCCCAGGTTTCCAGGTTCAGTCCCCAACAGGGGGCATGCAGGAGGCAGCCGATCGATGTTTCCTCACATCTATGTTTCTCTCTCTCTTCCTCTCCCTTCCTCTTTAAAATCAATAAAAACGTATTTTTTAAAAAATTAACAAACAGAATGACTCAACATCTAGGGCTACCATAAGTACTACAAACTGGAGGACTTAAACAGAAATTTATCTTCCCACAATTCTGGCAGCTACAAGTCTGAGATCAAGGTGTCAGGTGTAGTTGGGTTGGTTTCTTCTGAGGCCACGCTCCTTGGCTTGTAAATGACTGTCTTCCCTCTGTTCCTGGCTGAGTCCTCCTAATCTCCTCTCCTCACAAGGACACCAGTCATATTAGATTAGGGCCCCCTAATGACCTCATCTTAATTTCCTCTTTAAATGCTCTATCTCCAAACAGTCACAATCTGGGGTATTGGGATTTGGGATTCCAACATATGTGTGTGTGTGTGTGTGTGTGTGTGTGTGTGTGTGAGGGATGGGGTGGGGCACAATTGAGCCCATAGCAGTGGAAAACATGAGACAGCTCAGGGGTGGGCGTGGCTCTGCACTGTGTGGAGGAATGCTGAGTTCAGTTTTATCAATCACAAGTGCCCTGGGGTGGATCTGGAAGCAATTATTCAGTCTGTGTAAATGGAAGCATACAACACATGACCTTTTGTGTGTGCTTTACTTTCTAGTACAATGTTGTCAACGTTTGTCCATGTTATAGCATACATGGTTATTATTCTAGAACTGGCCTCTTTAAATAAACACTCTTCTTGAAATCTATCCAGGCATGTGCTGGCAAATATTGACCTACCAGCTCTTGTTGCGGGATGGGAAGAGGGAAGTGATATGTGGCTCTTGCTCATTTCCATGTTGTAAACACTTCTCACATGGCTGATCTCAAGTTATTGATGCACCTTGAAAATTTCTGAAATGTTAACAATCAACTTTTGCTTGGATGTAGCATAGCACTAAATCTATGCATTTTGATGTGTAGATCTGGGTTTTGCTTTTGTTTTTTCATTTTAATATCATAAGATAGAATTGCCATGTTTTATCCATTTACCTACATTATTTCCAAGTTTTCATTGTCATGAAACAGTGCCACAGCAAACATTCGTCTGCATATATCTCGGGCACATGTGTAAGACTTTCTGGGTCATGGGGTATGTTCATTGTCCTGACTAGATGTGGACAACTGCTTTCCAAAGTAAGTAGTTGCACTGGGTCATCCACTCAGCAGTGGTACGTGCGCAATCCCATTTCCCCACAACCTCACCAACACTGGTGTTGTCAAACAATGATTTTTTTTGCCAATGTAAAGGGCATAGTCCATTGATTTTTGTTGTTGTTGTTAATCCTCACCTGGGGATATTTTTCCATTGATTTTTACAGAGAATGGAAAGGAGAGGGAGAGACACAGAGAGAGAAACATCGATGACACATTAATTGGTTGCCTCCCACATGCACCCCAACCAGGACCAGGGATCGAGCCTGCAACAGAGGTATGTGCCCTTGAATGGAACCAAATCCGGGACCCTTCAGTTTTCGGGCAGACACTCTATCTACTGAGCCAAACTGGCTAGGGCCCATTGATTTTTAAACATAATTGTCTCTCCTTCTGAGACCCAGCAACCATTTATATGTAACTACTTACATATTTGTTTCATTTTTTTTTACATGAACTCTGGCATTTATCTCTAGTTGATTGCAATGAGTACAAGAGTTTATTGTAGAGCTCCAAAATTAGGGAATGTGGCTACTTAGCTTCTCTCTGAATTTAAGAGAAATGTATCCTTTAATTTGGGGATTTAGAAACAGAAGTTAAGATGTGTACAAGGTTGTATTGATTATTATTGCATTTGGCTGCAAGCAACCAAGAATCACATAAACAGTGGCTTAAACGAGTGTGGTGGATGTTTATTTCAAGCAATAAGAAGTCCGGGGCTGGTGAAGGAGGCATATGCTGTCCTGCATCCAGATTCCCACCACATTTCTCTGTTACCTTTAGCCTGTAGGCTCTCATTCTCATGCTCAGACCCCATGGTTGCAAGATGACTGCTGTAGTGCCAGGCTTTGCATCAACACTCAAGGCAGGAAGAAGAAACAGTGCCTGGTTCAGGAACACAAGAGCTTTCCACATAAATACCTAGAAGGCTTTTGTTAGGATCATTGACCAGAACTGTCAAAGGTCATCTCATGTGTTAGATAAATATTTTTAGTGGGGGACATATTTTCTCTTATCCTCTCAATGAAATTGCTACTCTGTTAGGATGGGGAAAGAGGAGAATATTTGCCACAAGAATTATTTTCATGTGGATTTCATGTACATTATTTTTTATAGTAGCATCAAATTGGGTGAATGCTGGGAACTTATTCAGAAATTTCTACTATCCAGAAAAACATAAGACTGTGCTACTGAGCCCTACAGGCCACCTACTACGTAAGGCCACCATACCAAGACTGGAAGATGTAGCAGATCTACCTAAAACACAGAGACAAATACAGAGAGACAGTCAAAATGGGGAGATAAAGAAAAGTGCCCCAAATGAAAGAACAGGAGAAATTTCCAGAAAAAGAACTAAATGAAATAGAGGCAAGCAATCTATGAGATAGAGTTTAAAGCAATGGTTATAAGAATGTTCAAGGAACTTAGGAGAAGAATGGATAAACTCAGTGAGAACTTAAAGAGATAGTAAGCATAAAGAAGTACAGAGAAACCATTAAAAAAACAGTCAGAGCCCTAGCCAGTTTTGCTCAGTGGATAGAGCTTCGGACTGCAGACCGAAGGGTCCCGGGTTTGATTCCGGTCAAGGTCATGTACCTCAGTTGCAGGCTTCTCCCTGAACAGGCCCCGGTCAGGGCACATGCAGGAGGCAACCAATCAATGTGTCTCTCTCACATCGATGTTTCTTTCTGCCTTTCCCTCTCTCTTCCACTCTCCCTAAAACTCAATGGAAAAATATCCTCAGGTGAGGATTAACAAAACAAACAAACAAAAATGAAGAATACAATATCTGAAATGGAGAGTACACTAGAAGGAACCAACAGTAGACTAGATGAAGCAGAGGACTGAATCAGTGGTTTGGAAGACAAGGTAGCAGAAAACAACCAATCAGAGCAGGAAAAGAAAAAGGGGCCTCTTGGACAACAGGAAGCATAATAACATTCACATCATGGGGGAGGAGGAGGAGGAAGAGGAGGAGGAAGTTATTTTAAAATAACATGGAAGTGGGGAGAGGAGGAGGAGGAGGAGGAGGAGGAAGAAGAAGAAGAGGAGGAGGAGGAGGACGACGAGGAGGAGGAGGAGGAGGAGGAGGAGGCAGGGGATTGAAAACCTATGAAATTATTTGAAGAAATAATGGCTGAAAACTTCCCTAACTTGGTGAAGGAAAAGGACACACAAGTCCAGGAAGGGCAGAGTCCTAAGCAAGATAAACCCCAAAAAAACTACACTAAGACACATCATAATTAAAATTGCAAAGGTTACGCCCTGGCTGGTTTGGCACAGTGGATAGAGCACTGGCCTGCAGACCGAAGGGTCCCAGGTTTGATTCTGGTCAAGGGCAGGCTCCTCTCCAGCCTGGGTTCTGGTTGGGGCTTGTACAGGAGACAACCAACCAATGTGTTTCTCTCACATCAATATTTCTCTCTGTCTTACCCTCTCTTCCACTCTCTCTAAAAATCAATGGAAAAATATCGTTGGGTGAGAATTAAGAAAATAATAAAATAAAATAAAATGGCAAAGATTAAAGACAAAGAAAGAACCTTAGAAGCAGCAAGAGAAAGACAGTTACCTATAGCGAGCACCATAAGATTGTTAGCTGTTTTCTCAACAGAAACACTTCAGGCCAGAAGGTACTGGTACAAAATATTCTAAGTGATGAAAAGCAAGGACCTACAATCAAGACTACTCTACCCAGCAAAGCTGTTGTTTAAAATTGAAGAAATCAAAAGCTTTCCACACAAGCAAAAGCTAAAGGAGTTCACCACCACCAAAACAGTATTACAAGATATGTTAAAGGGACTTCTTTAAGAAGAAGAAGTAAACAAATAAAAAGAGGTACCTAAATGTGTATAGTGAAATGGCAATAAATACATACTTATGAATAATCACTTTAATGTAAATGGATTAAATGTTCCAATCAAAAGACAGGGTACCTGGATGGATAAGAAAATAAGACCTATATATATGCCATATACAAGAGACCCACTTCAGATAGAAAGACACGCACAGACTGAATGTAAAGGGATGAAAAAAGATATTTCATGCAAATGGAAATGAAAATAAGCAGAATAGCAATACTTATATCAGACAAAATAGACTTTAAAACAAGGGCTATAATAAAAGACGAAGAAAGACATTACATAAAGGGATCAACCCAACAAGAGGATATAACCCCTGTAAACACTTATGCACCCAACATAGGATCACCTAAATATGTAAAGCAAATATAGATAGACATAAAGGGAGAGGTCAACAATAATATAGTCATAGTAGAGGGCTTTAACATCCCATTGACATCAATGGAATGATCTTCCAGATAGAAAGTTAATAAGGAAACAACAGCCTTAAATGACACACTAGACCAGATGGATTTAATTGATGTTTTCAGAGCATTTTACCCCAAAGCAGCAGAATATATGTTCTTTTCAAGTGCACATGGAACATTTTTCCAGGATAGACCCCATGCTACGCCACAAAACAAACCTCAATAAATTTAAGAAGACTGAAATCATATTAAGCAGCTTTCCAACCACCATGTATGAAATTATAAACCAACTAGAGGCCTGGTGAACGAATTTGTGCACCAGTGAGATCCCTGGTTCAGGCCTGCGGGATTGGGCTGAAACCAGCTCTCTGACATCCCCCAAGGGGTCCTGGATTGCAAGAGGGTGCAAGCCAGGCCGAGGGACCCCACCGTGCACGATCGGGGCCAGGGAGGGACGCAGGAGGTTGACCAGCCGGGGGGGACCATGGAAGGGCTCCATGGCATGTTCTGCCTGTCTCACTCAATTCCGATTGGCCAGACCCCAGCAGCAAGCTAACCTACAGGTCAGAGCGTCTGCCCTCTGATGGTCAGTGCATGTCATAGCGAGCAATTGAGTGACCTTAGCATATCATTAGCATATTACTCTTTGATTGGTTGAACAGATGACCGGACACTTAGCATATTAGGCTTTTATTATATAGAATGACAAGAAAAAAACTGAAAAACACACAGGACATGCAGAAAAACATGGATACAGAGTTTCCTTATTTCATTGCTTTATCACTGTTTCATTCATTTTACAGTACTCACTAACTATCTAGGTTTCACTTCTCTTTGTCCCTTTTTACTAATTCAAAAAGAATTGAAAATGTGAGAACCAACAAATATTTAACTAGGCACATGCTATTTTATGATGAGTTTTCCAGCATGCCTCATGCCATAAAAGTGCAGAAAAAAAATTTTAAGTATAGGCTTATACTCCAAGGAATGGGAGAGAAGCACTCGGGGCTTACACAAACTAATGTTTCATTTATTGCTTTGTGTTTGTAGGACAAATAGCTGTTAGGGCCTCATATTATTAATATAACTCATGAATCCTTTTTTTCCAAAGTTGAAGACACTTAGCACTATGTGTGGGTGGGACCAAAATAGGTGTGGTGTTCTAACCGAAAGATGAGTCATGGGAATGTTGCAAATTAAACAGGAAGGAGGATATTTGGACCTGAAAGTAGCACATACATTGGATTCCTCAGCAATGAGACTGCTCCATAAAAGAAGCATCTAGTTTTGGAATTTTCAAGAAAAATTAAAAGGAGGGATTTGAAAGGTATCTTGAAGAAAGTACCTAGGCACTCAGCTATCGGGAATTAACTAATAGTCCTGAGCGGTAGAATGTAATAATTGATCTGTCCCCAGGGACACCCTGTTCCAGAGACTGCACCTGCCGTGTATCCCCACTGGGGCATACAGAGGGCGGGTGTGCATATGTGTGTTCCTGCCGCTTTGTAATATTTACTGCAGTTTCAATTTCATACACGCTTCAAGTGCACATCAGAGAAGCAGTTAGTCATCGATGACCAAGTGTTCCTTTTACTTCTAACTTTGCTGGATTCTAAAACTTTTTTTAAAAAAATATATTTTTATTGATTTCAGAGAGGAAATGAGAGGAAAAGATAGATAGAAACATCAATGATGAGAGAGAACCATTGATCAGCTGCCTCCCGCACGCCCTCCACTGGGGATCGAGCTCACAACCCAGGCATGTGCCCTTGACTGGAACTGAACCTGGGACCTTTCAGTCTGCAGGCCAACACTCCACCCACTGAGCCAAACGGCCTAGGGCTGGATTCTAAACTTTTTGAAATAAGAAAAACAAAACCTTGAATGATGTGCTCTCTGATCCGAGACAACACCGTGCATACGTGAAGCTTAATGCATGCACCTCTTTTTGGAAATGCGTGGATTATGGGATGTGAGGCACGCAGAGCATTAGCAACAAAGGTTTCCTGAGTGGCGCATCCATGTCTGTGCACATGTTCTTGTGAAAGGGAGCCAGAGAGCAATTCTTATCTGCATCAGGCTGCTGTGGGGATGGCGTGAGGCAGTTTCCAGTTCACACTTGGCACATAAGGGATGCTCAGGAGATGTTAGTTCCTTTCCCCACTTGCCCTCCAGGTCCACCTGCATCCTGTTTGTCCAAACTTGCATAGGTTTAGCTTTTCATTTTAGAAGAGCCACTGGGAGGGGCACAGGAGTGATTCTGGGACCAGGAGATCTTCCTTCAGGGCCTTTGAGGCCAGTCCCCTACCTTCGTCCTATAGGAGCTCTCAGACATTTGGGTTGACACAGCTAAGGGACACCAGGACTCTATTCATTTCACAGAGTAGCAGAAACCAAAAATCAATAGCGGGAAAGCGCTTACCTCCAAGTAAAAAAGACACTTGATGGCATAAGTTCATATTGAGACAGAGGGCTGTGGATCTGGGTCCTGGGTAAAGCATCAGCTGAAGACAGAGGGGTACCTATCATAGACTGGAGTTGGGGGTTCCAGGGTCCTTTCTCTGGCTGACCTGAGACTATTTCTTTAGATTTACAGAAAAAGTGAGGGGGGGGGGGTTCAGAGGTGTCCCATAACCCCCCTGACCTCACACATCCATAGCTTCTCTTGTTATCAATAGCCACCCCCAGAGTGGTGTATTGTTACAATTAATGGACCTACAGAGTCCACCATTTTCATCGGTGTTCACTCTTGGTGTTGGACATTCCATCAGTTTGGACAAGTGTATAATGACATGTATCCATCATTGCAATATCATGCAGAGTAATTTCACTGCCCTACAAATCCTTTGTGCTCTGCCTATTCATCCCTCCCTCCCCACTAGCCTTTGGCAACCACTCATCTTTTTAGTGTCTCCACAGTTTTGCCTTTTCCAGAATGTCCTATAGTTGGAGTCACATAGTATGTAGCCTTTTTAGATTGGTTTCTTTCACTAACTAATATGTATTTAAGTTTCCTCCATATCTTTTCATGACTTGGTACCTCATGTCTTTGGTGCCAAATAGTATTCCACTGTCTGGACATATGACAGATTATTTATTCACTCATCTACTGAAAGACATCTCGGCTGCCTCCAAATTTTGGCAAGCCTATATAATAAAAGGCTAATATGCAAATGGACCAAACGGCAGAACAACCGGTTGCTATGACACGCATTGACCACCAGGGGGCAGATGCTCAACACAGGAGCTGCCCCCTGGTGGTGAGTGTGCTCCCACAGGGGGAGCACCACTCAGCCAGAAGCCAGGCTCACAGCTGGTGAGCCCAGCGGCGGTGGTGGGAGCCTCTCCCACCTCTGTGGCTATGCTAAGGACCCCTCGGGGGATGTCTGAATGCTGGCAGGTGGAAATCCCCTGAGGGGTCCTGGACCGTGAGAGGGTGCAGTCCGGGCTGAAGAATTCCCCCCTCCAGTGCATGAATGTCGTGCACCAGGCCTCTAGTTATACATAAAGCTGCTATAAGCATCATGTGCAGGTTTCTGTGTGGAGGTAACTTTTCAACTCCTTTGTATAAATACCAAGAAGTGTAATTGGTGGACCATATGGAAGGGGTATGTTTAGTTTTGTAAGAAATTGCCAAACTGTGTTGGTACTATTACAATGGCAATAGATTCAAACTCACAGTTGTGGGGCCCTAACAGAGTGGGGAGCCTTGTCCTGTACACCAAAAGGCTCTGGGCTCAATTCCTGCTCAGGGCACATACCTGGGTTCCGGATTCGGTCCCAAATTGGGATGTACATGGGAGGCAACCAATTGATCTCTCTCTGTCTCTCTGTCTCTCTCATCAATGAAATATATCCTTGGGGTGATGATAAAATAAATGAAATAAAACAAATTCTCACCGTTGCGGGATGTGTTAAAAGTGACATGGAGAAGAATGTTTGCCTGTCCTTCCTTTTATAAATTCTACTAACCATGTATTTAAGCTACAGAATTTATCTGCTCCCTTGAGCTCCTTTTGAGGAATAAGATTTGGGGAGAATTTTTTTTTTTTTTTTGCTAATTTATAGATTAGGATGCTCCCAGTTCCCAAATCCCATCTGAATGTGAGTAGGTTTTTAGATAGTCAGAAAAATCAACTGGCACCAAAGTAAACGAATGCAGGTCAAGCCCGATATTTTACCCCCTCAATGTCTAAGAAACGATAATAGCTATGTCATAGTTCCTAAGGCAATGACCACAAAGAGGCTTATCCATCTCAGAGCGGGGGTTCCCGACCTCAGTGTGGTGCTGCCTTGCTGACATCCAGCAAATTTGTGTTCACATAAAGCTTTATCGTGGGTTAATCCTCTAAAGACAGGACAAACCTGTAGATGGGAAATAGCACTTTTCATGCCAACTCAACACAGAGGGCTTATGCTGTGGGAGCCGTGTGCTGGAGACGCGGACCCTCACATCACACAGCGCCTGGTCCCCTAGACTCCCGTGCGAGGCAGAATGAATGGACTGTGTTCTTTCACAGAGATGCCACGTGTTAGAACAGTGGTTCTCAACCTTCTGGCCCTTTAAATTACAGCTCCTCATGTTGTGACCCAATAATAAAATTATTTTTCTTGCTACTTCATAACTGTAATGTTGCTACTGTTATGAATCATAATGTAAATATCTGATATGCAGGATGGTCTTAGGCGACCCCTGTGAAAGGGCTGTTCGACCACCAAAGGGGTCACGACCCACAGGTTGAGGACCGCTGTGTTAGAAGAACTGTGACAGGACAGTGATCCATTCTGACCTGGAACCTAGCCAGAGAGAGGCATCCAGAGTCCTGAGCTCTGATCTTGACATTCCACTCACCTTCCGTTTCAAGTCAGGGGCTGAACTGAGGAAGTCCAAGGGGCTGGAATAGATGGGTTCCACTTTGGTATGAGATCCTGGCATGATTCTCGGGACTCCTGCTTGCTAGGGAGCTTGGGTAGATTGAGTTTTTTCCTCTGAGTACTGCCAACCAGAGGGGGCAGTCATAGGCAGGTTGGGGCAAATGGTATTAATCTGTTCCCTCAACATAAACTGTAGCTCCACCATCAGCTCTCGCGCCCGGACAAGGCAGAGATTAGTGCGCGGAGGTGGTGCCAACAAAGGAGCCACAGGAATGTGTTGGAAGGACATTCATCAGCACCAGGGCCAGAGAGTCCTTCATCTAAACATCCGGGTTTCCTTCCTGGGTTCCCTTTCTCGGAACTTAAAAAGTGCTTCTGAGAGAAAGCTGTGGTGTGTTGGGATGTCATCTTTATCTAGGAGAGGGATGGGGAACGTCTGGCCATCAGGGAAATCATTTGGTCGGGCCCTGTCAAGGCATGAGGGGTGAGTTAATTAAATGCTTGACCAAACAGAGCAGGCTAGATTTTAAGTTGGCAATCGTGTATGGCCTGTAATGTTATGAATATCCAAATGACCCTCGGCAGATGGAAGATTCCCCACCCCTGGTCCAGGAGAACATGGGTGTTTTACAGCATGAAAAGATGGCACCTACAATCAGTTTACCAGTATCTTCAAGTGGAAATGGCCTGAGGAGCATAGTCATGGGCATGTGACAGGGAAGCCCCCTCTCAGTACCTAGATAGTGCCTGGAACGTAGTAGGTGCTCAATAAATCTTTGTTTTGCCAAATCATTGCTAAGGTATCAAAGAATAGGGGACAGCTGCCTAGGGCCTATGTTGTACTTCAGAAGGCAAAGAGGAACTGGCCACGTGTTCTGGTTCTGTGGACACTCCTACACCTCAGCAGGCCACGAGCCTCACACTCTACAGCACGAGGGACTCCTACTCTGGGAGGGGAGGCATGAGCTCAGGGAAGGTCATCCAGAGACCCAGCATCAGCCCATCTCCACCGGCCACATCATCTTCAGTTTTAAAAAAATGCCACATTACATGTCCACAATCCCTCTTTTTCTCTTTATGAACAGTCACTTTCACTTTCCGGACATCTCAATGTGGGATTGCTGCTGACCCTCGCTTTTAGGTGGGAAAAATGAGCCTAGTGTTTTTTCATACACAGTGTGAATCAGGACCCTTTCCAAGGTCATTCACAGGCCGTGGCCTGGTGGCTCAGTTGGTTGGAACATCGACCCATCCACCCAGAAGTTGCAGGTTTGACCCCTGGTCAGAGCACATACCTAGGTTGTGGGTACAATACCCTATTGGGGTGTGTGCAGGAGGCAACCGATCAAAGTCTCTCTATCCCTCTCTGTCTCTCTGAAAATCCATAAAAACATATCCTTAGGTGAAGATTAAATCTATCTATCTATCTATCTTATTCATTCATTCATCCATTCACAGGTAAGGTCCCCCCAAGAATCTCACGTCTGTTCATTGTTTTGTTATTGAAGCTCCATTCATTTGCATTTCTTCCAGCTTTTCCCCCTCTCGTTTTGTTGTTTGTTTTATCTCTGCAGGGAGTTAGTAAGTGAGCTAGGATTAGGACATGGCTCTGTGTACCATCCACACCTTATTCCTTTGTCCTTGTTCTCTTGCCTGCCCTTGACCTTCCCCTCTGGCGTGTTCAGTCAGAGGAAGGAAGCCTGGAGGGAGAGGCAGCTGTTTTCACAGTAAAAATGCCTCCTACCAAAGTATACCCAAGGGCTGTGGGTTTTTTCCAAGACCAGTTCTGACAGCTAAGAGGGCTGGTGCCCAACTGGCACAGGCCAATACTTTGTCCTGTCACCTCCTGCCACATCAAGCCTTTGGCACAGCATGGCTACTGAACCTTTGCCAGGCTTGCCCCATTCCTGCCCAGCCCACAGCGGGTGGTGGCCAACATGTTTGGGGCTCATGCAGATTGGTCCTGGCCCATCATCTTGTGGACAACTTCTCGTTTCCACAGACAGGATTTGTAGCAGCAGCAGAAGCATCCTCCCTCCCTCTTCCTCTTTGGCTTTTGATGGATAAACACCCTGTTCCGCGGACCCCCCTCACCTCTCAGGAGGAAGAGTTATGTGCCTACTGCCCCCAGCTCCTCTCTGGCTTTTAGAAAGTGCGAATCCTGAGGCAGCAAGTCTGCATAGTTTGGCCCAAAGCTCCCTGGCCGCACCCACATACCAGGGCGGCGCCCGCTCAGGCAGCTCTCCATTGTTTCTACGCTGCGGGCAGGATTGGCCACTGGGCACGAAGGCCACCTGGGTGGAAGAAGCCTTTTCAGAGTAGGGTGGCTCCACGCAGGCAGCTAAAAGCTGTCCCCTGGCCGTAGGGACAGAGTCAAGGAGGGATGTGGAGCCCGGAACTTCTCTAGAAGCAGATCATGGGAATTAAAAATCGAAATGAACAATCCTTCAGTGAACTTACTAACAAAGCACAATTTCTACAGGGTTTTACACTCCATTCTCGGAAAAAGCAAAACCCGTGGCAGCGGGTGGCCACGATGCCCGGATGGGGAAGAACCGAGAAGACGCTGGAGCCTCTCCCCAGACCTCCTGACCCACGATGTAGGTAGCGAGCGAGACAGCGGTTCTCCCTTCTGATGCCTCCACTTTGCCGGCTGCAGAATGGGGGCGGAGACCATAAAAACACAAAGTGTGTGTGTGTGTGTGTGTGTGTGTGTGTGTGTGTGTTTAAAGGAATGATGGGCTGGTGGAACTACTTCTCTCACTACATCCAATATGAAATATTCAAATAATCAAGCATTACTTTCACTCGGCAGACTCAACTCTCGAAAGAGACAAAGCATGCAACAGAAAGAAGAGCGTGAGCCTAGTTCCTGTGGCAAAGGGAGATGGTGCCCAGGTTACCGGGCGTGGCGCCCACCCACTCACTAATCATCCCATCCTGCAGGGCACCTGGGGGCCAAGGCGCCGCAGCCAGATGCCAGGTGAAGGCAATTAGCATCCGAGGGCTGGCCTTTGTTCACGCCAGGCCCAGGGGAAGAACACTGCAACCGGAACGCGGCTCCAGCTTCTTGGAGGCAGGTTAGCAGCGAGTCTTCCCCTAGGTTAGCTGAGTGCCTCCTGACCAAGGCAGAAACCTGTCCTCCTCGCTCCACTCACCTTCCTCAGCCACAGCCACTCACCTGCAGCCTCTCACCTGCAGCCCCAGACAAGTCCTCTTGCTCCTTATGCAGACACCAAGGACACGTACGGGTCCCAGGCGCTGTGCTGCCCTCAGGTCCTGAAGCTGGAAATAGAGACCAAATAATTCAGGATCCTGGGACACAGGGATGCTGTTACCTCGCCTGTAGTTCGGTGCAGCCTGTTTTCCTGACATCGTTATTGAAAAGCACCCGCTGTGAGAGAGCACTGCCGTGGAGGCTGCTCTAATGTCCCCTGGATGATACTCAGCGCCTGTTGGCCAGGCCTCCGCTGAGATTTTGGCCACAATTCCGCTGCATTTTTCATGGTGAGCAAATGAGATTTTCTCTGATCTCTGGTCATTCCTCGCCAGCCATGCCGGTTAGCCATCCAAGCCACTGCCATCTCTCTGGCCCTCGGCCTCTCTGAACGGAACTGACTACTTCTTGCACTCCAGCTCTTTGGTTTCCTGATAAATAGTACATTGAACACCATTTCATTAACTCTTAAGAAGGCCAGCTTAAAACGTCATCTTTGAACTTGGTTGTATTAGAGCCTTACAGAGTGTCAGGTCTGAATGTGACCTCAGAGATGCTCTACCAGTAAGCCCGGGGTTCTGAACTTGGGGTGAATGCTTCTGGGGCATTCATGGGGGGCCTTGGGAGCCTTTGGCCTCGAAAATGTTACACTCGTTTTTGTGTGTGTGTGTGTGTGTGTGTGTGTGTGTGTGCGCGCGCATTGCTTCCTTTTTTAAGGGAGGGGCCCCAGCTTTCATTAGAGTCTTAAGAAAGGGCTTTGATGGGACCAGCTTGTTTCTGAGACGAGAACACAGGGCTCCTTGAGAGTGAAGTGAAAGGATGCTGGAACCAGACCTAGGTCACCTGACTTTGAGCTCTTTGCGCTGTATCATACGACTGAGCTTAGAAAGCTTACAGAATATACTTTTTATTGATTTCAGAGGGAAAGGGAGAAGAAGAGAGATAGAAACATCAATGCTGAGAGAGAAAAATTGATGTGTTGCCTCCTGCATGCTCCCCCCTGAGTATTGAGCCGGCAAACCTGGGCATATGCCCTTGACTGGAATTGAACCCAGGACTCTTCAGTCCGCAGGCCGACGCTCTAGCCACTGAGCCAAACCAGCCAGGGCCGATTGAGCTTAAAAACCTTACAGACGTTCAGTTAACAGGGTGAACACATGGGCTTGCCAGTGTCCTCTTGAACCCCACTAACAGGGGACCCGGGAATGAAGTGCCAATAAGGACACAGAGAATGTGAGTGGACAGCAGCGGTGAGAGCAGCCAGCAGGTCTAGGAGGACAGAAATGTGGCAATAAACTCAGCACAGCACAAAGGCCGAAGGCAAGACCCCAGAGGACAGAGCCCACCGCAGCAGTCGGCCCCGTGCGGCATGGTGGAAAGGCCAGGAGTCGGGGTGCAGGCACCTCTGAAGGCGGGGAGCCGTGAGTCACTCAGGTCTCCACTCTCTGAGAGCCTGACCTGGAGGAGGTCTGGACTGAGGGATATTCGCGCAGCAGCCGACGGAGGATTAAGTGACTTGCTAAAGAGGGTTCCATCTCAACCACACTCTGAAGAGACTCCGGCCCCTTCCTCAGTTCAGCTTTCGGAGCCTGGCGGCTGGGCGACGGATTGTCAGTGCTGCTGCCACCGCGCCCGCGCCCGGTGAAGACTGGGACCCTTTCCCTGTGCGGCTCCAGGTTCCAGTTTGCCAGAGAGGAGCCTGTGTAAGATGTGGGATGCCCAGTCGGGTGAGCGCCATGTCCCAGCGCTCAGTGAGGTGGGAGCGTGGCCCCTGGCCCCGCCTGGGGGTAGACACTGGCTTGGACTCCAGGGCTGCAGGTCATCTTTAGAGACAGCTGAGTGCGTTCTCTGGCTGCAGCTTTTCAGACCGTCACTCCCTCCTCCCGCATCTTTGGAGCCCCTAAGACCAACATGCAACGTTTTATTCTGGTGAAATGTGTAGGGACTCCGAGTGAGCCTCCCTGGTACAACCCCCAGCAGGAGACCGAAGGATTCATCTCTGAGGAAACCCGCCAGACCAAGAGCGAACCTCCCCCACCCCCTTCCCCAACCTTACAGATAATGACACTGGTCTCTGGGTGAAGCAGCCCAGGCCCTTGCAATCACCTGAATTGGTTTCCTACTGCTGCTGTTACCAAGCATTGCAGACTCGTGGTTTCACCCACACACGTTTATCCTCCTACCGTCTGGAGGCCAGCTGTCTGTTGCAGGCCCGCGGGGGGACAACCAGTGTCCGCAGGGCTGTGTTCCCTCTGGAGGCTGTTTTCTTGCCTTTTCCACCTTCTAGGAGCTGCCTGAATCCCTCGGCTCGGCCTCTTCCTCCCTCTTCCCAGCCAGCAACGCTGCATCTC